ACAAAAACCACATTGTTTAGTTCTGCTATAACATTCAGAAATTTGATATCATCCTTCCTGATATTGTAGTCAAATTCTCAAATATAATCATGGGTGACATTTTATAAAGTGAAACCTATGGAAAATCCCTCATTTGTTCTCCTGGGTGAGGTTTTTTGTCTCTTGACAGAAGAGGCCAAGCCTTTTTCTGCTTTGTTCTCTGTCAGTGTGAATATTCAGTAGAGCAAGAAAGTAATTTTAGTATCCTTAATGACTTTCCCCACAGTTGGGCTGATTAGCAGCATGGAAAATAGATATTTAAGTCAACTTTCTCCATAGGATTCTAAATACAGATCTACTATGCTCTGTGGCAGAAATGCTTATGGTTTTTCAGAAGTAGACCCAACATGGGCTTTTCATAGGGAAATAAATCCACAGAGCTTTATAAAAAAGATGTTTATTTACAATTTATTATCTCTTCCTTCCCTCTCAAAGCCTTGAACAGACTGTGGACATGCTTATTCTGGAAGAGTCCGTCAGCCGTTAAGAAAACACCAGTCTGTATGCCCGGAAACAAATGTACACACGACACATTGAAGTGAGGCAGAAGAAATCAAATAGCATCATTTTTCCATCTGAACTCCTTTTTTTTAAGACTTAGCAGAGAATTTGTACATATAGAGTATATTTGCTATAAATAGACTCTTAATATTCCTTACTAATCTAGAGGAAGTGTGTTAGTCAGCTTTGTGTTGCTATGACAAAATAACTGAACATATCAACTTAAAAGAGAAAAGAAGGTATATTTTGGCTCTAGGTTTCAAAAGTTTTAGTCCATGGCCAGCTAGCTCTATTGCTTTTAGGCCTGAGGAGAGGCAGAAATATCATGGTGGAAGGGCATGGCAGAGGAAAGCTATTCACCTAATGGCAACCAGGAAACAGTGGGAAAGAGCCTGAGAGGACAGGGCCTGGGACCAGATATGGTGCAACAAGGTCATGTTCCCGTGACCCGCTCCCTTCAATTAGTCCCCCTTCCTGTTCCCATCACCTTCTAATAATGCCCTCAGGTTATGACCTCATTAATGGATCAATCCACTGATAAAGTTAAAACCAAATAGTCCAATCATTTCCCAAAATTCCAATCAACTGGGGACATTATAAATCCAAACTGTAACAGGAGATCTGTTAGGAAAAAATAAAAGTGGATTAGTTAATGTAAATTCTGTGGACTAAGTAGAATTTTTGTAGTTTACTGATTAAAAACTATAGTAGGACCCTCGCAACAGCATTGCCTAGTTTTTACAAGACTTCTGAGCACCATACGTCAATTAGATTCCTCCAAAAGCAAGCAGACGTCCTCTTTCCTGGCTGTCAGTGTAACTATTGTAAAGAACACTCTCCCAAATGGACCACAGATCATTTCCCTTGCAGTTCCAGAACACACACACACACACACACACACACACACCACATCACCTGGCAACTTTGGCTCCCTGTGGGGTGGCTGGGAGAAGGGTGGGAGAGAGACTTTTCCCCAAACAGGCCTTTTGAATTTTGCATCATAGGACTATATGTATTTCCTACTCAAAAATAACAGCTAAGAAAAAAGCTAGGTGACTACAAGTTTGTACATCTCAACTTAGTCACCCAGGGCTTCCCATTGTACCTCTTGGAGAAAGAAAGGCAATTGTAGGCCCCTGGCACTCTTACCCGGTTAGCTGAAAATCTGCAGCCTTTGCCCTACATTCCCCATTCCCGGGGGGAGGGGATCCCTTCAGTAACACTTTAGTGGGAGCATATTTTTATCAGGTTATCACCTTACTAGGATGGCTATGATTGTAATAGCCACTAACTCATAACCAGGGGAGCATGACCTTGGAAGATAAAGTCAGGCCCCAATTCCAGGCAGTTAGAGGGAAAGGCAGGGCTGCTGCTGGGTGGGTCGTCAGCAGTGTAGCTACTCTTGCCAGCTATTGGCGGGCAGGGCAGCCTGGGGTGAGATGGTGGACACCAGAACTGGGAATCCTTTAGGCAAAAGGAAGGGTCAGAATGGGCAAGGCAGAGATGCTGATGCCTGACTGAAGAACATATATTCATTCATACAGAAAGGTGGCACCAGAGGATGTGCCTGGCAGGCCATCCAAGCAGAAGGAGACAGGCATAAGGAGATTCAGTGGAGGAGTACAGGTGGGAATCAAGATCAAGGAGAGCTGATCTGGGCTGGAAGTGTAGGATCAGACTGAGAGCAGCAGAGGGGGCTGCACATTGTGTGGGCTCTGGGACCTGCAGAGTCCTCTAAGAAGGGGCTCTTCCTAGAGCAGGGTCTCTGCAAGTGCAGGGAGAGAAGGTTGAACCTGAGACCCAGGAAGGAAAAAGAGAGGGACACTAAAGCCATAGTTTACCTTCTCCTAGATATGGGAGAATCCTTAAAAATTTTCCAGGTTTTAAAATGTTTACTCCAAAACCACATTTCCTGAAGTATATGTGTGTATGAATGTTGCCTTTTAAGTTGTATATGTATTGTGAGGGTGAGGAGCTGAAGGTATCCTTCAACGTGTAACAGGCATCTAGAGAATAAAGCAGATTTCTGCTTAAGCTCTTCCTTAAATGAGATTAAAATCATAATTTTCTGCCTCACTATCCCAAATTTTCCCAGAGGAAAATTTCTGCTCTTCCTTAAAAGATCTATAATTCTATAGCTATCTCATGTTGACATGTCATTTGGAAATGATGAAAATGTTCTGGAACTACAGCAGTGATGATCATATAAATGTGTGAATATATTAAAAACCATTGATATAATTTAAAAGGCTAAATTTTATAGTATGTGAATTATATCTCAGTTTTGTTGAAAGAAAGGTGTGTCTACCTATAAAGACATAGAAAGATAGAAGCTGAGGAGAGAGAAATAGGTTTTAATAAATAATCTGTAAAACTCTGTTTAACAGTAAAGATACCTTGTCACTATGGAAAGCAGTGATTCCTCGTTTTGGGGAGGAGGTGAAGTCCCAGATTAGGCGCTGGATGGGTTGAATGAATCACAGCCACAGTCCTGCATATGGAAGCAAATTGTCCACATGTTCAGTCAGCTGATGCTCAACAGGCACCAGACTTGGAGCCCAGGACACAGCCGGTAGTATCCAACAGTGCTCCGAAGTGGCTACTTCAGTTCTTACCAAATTCCCCTAAAAAGTACCTTTCTGTGTGTGTCACACAGGCAAAGTATGTGCTTATCTTACAGACACTGTGCAGCTTTCTTAATGGGTCAGAAGCTGTTGATAACCTTTGTCATCTAACTACGGCCCACGCACACATTTGTCCTGTTTGCCTTGACATCAGCTTGCGGCAACATTCACGTAGCCTTAGGCTCAGTCAGATAATACTCTTGGTTAGATGAAGTCTAGTGTCCATGGAGAGTGAAAGTGAGCCCCAGGAAGCAAGTCCACATACAACCCTCCTGGCACACGTTGCTCTAGCAACCCAATGGGACCTTCTCATCCACCTCAAAGTCACTGTGTTCCTGCCTTCACTTGCCTGCCTAGGGTGAGGTCAGAGACCCATCTCCTCAACCCCGCTCGACTAGCTTTGAGTTTCCTGGGTTGGTGCTTTATTTATAAGACTTCCTTCCACAATTGAAGTATTTTCAGGATGTATGGCTTCTTCCAAGCCCTATTATTTCAACACTTTCCTTCCAACTCTAATACACAGATGAAGTCCCCCTTCACCTTCAACAACCTCTGATTACCTTTGTTCCCACCTCTCCTCTGCTGATGTCAGCCTTCAGCCATGCTGACAGTCTCCTGCATCCTCTAGCCACCCCAAAGGCCATACCAGAACTCACTGCCTCTATTTGAACTCCTCACTTTGTCTGCAGTCTTCCTTGCCCCTGCCCCGCTGTCCACCTGCCAGTTGCTATTTTCCTCATCTGGCAATTTCTTTGTATCCTGTAAAGCGGAGCTCACTCCCTAGGTCCCTGAGGAGACCTCCTTGGCCTTCCTCTGCTGAGATCAAACCCATCTGCCTCTACAGTAGCACCCACCTCGTGTGTGTTTGCCGTTCTACTGTAAAACCCTTGAAGGGAAGGTCTGTGACTAGGTATCTGCAGAACCAGCAGAGAACTTGATAAAGTGTCCACCCACTGATACCTGTTCAACCGAACACCATATTCAGGCTCCCTCTTCCATTTCTAACATGACTGCTTCTCATCAGCAGTGTTTATTGTTGTTGTTGTTTTTCATACATTGAGAAAGCTGCTGAGAAAAATAATTTTGCTGCTACCACCTGGAAGGCTGTCTGGTGATTCTGTGAGACTTGGCTGTTTTGTTTTGTTTTGTTATACTGAAATGGTCAGATTCAGAGATTATTATTTGTATTAGAATCATACTGTTTTGGACCAGAAAAGAAACAGAAGCTCAAAACACCTAAGTAGCTTATCCAGAGTCCCTCAGGTAGTAGATGATTGGGACTTAGCTCATGAAGTTCCTATAATGCCTTGCTGTCCTGACTTATTAAAATTCTCTCCATGTTTAACATTTTTGAAAGAGAGCAACATTAAATATCTTTTACAATTCAGAAGTAGCTTATAGGACCAAATTTGACATCTCAGGTATAAGCATAGAAAGGAGCCTCATTATGTTCCTGTGGTGTCAGGCTCAGATACCATCTGCCTCCAGAGAATGTTCGCCATCTGACCCTGGAGAATTTGGGCCAGTTTAGTATGTGGCTTTTGTAAAGCAGTTTTCAACTTTTAGTGTACAATTTGCATATTTCCTTTAATCCACCATATCATCGTGAGCATCACTGAAATGTTTTGTGTTTAAATAGGTGTTGTGCCCTGTGCTAAAGTTTGGTTTTATGCATTCTTAGGCTAAGACAGGGAGGGGACAATTTTGGAAGTGATCATATGAGCAGCATATGGTGCTTTCTTATGCTTTTCACAAGTGCAACTTAGTCATTCACTTTTTGTGTAATCCAAAAAAGACTTGTGCATAATGCCTGTCTATTGTCAATTTTCATTTCAGGTAACCTTTCAGGTCACTCCTCCGTGCACTAGTGACAGGCATTATGAGCATGCTGGGCGGTGCTGCAACAAATGTGAACCAGGTAGGCCTGCTCCTGAGCATCTGCCAGAGTCCTCCAAAGGTAGGGGGTACTTTTGCTGGTTGTTTTTTCTGTCCTACCAGATGAAAGAAGAAATCAGATACTTTTCATGGTCCTGGCAGGAATAATGTCTATCATTTGGAAGACAAAAATCTTTTCCTCAACAGATAAATTCACCTAAAAATCAAAAGGAATTTCAGAAACTGGTACTTAATTTTTGCTGAAACACAATTTTCCAAAACACTACTTCTTGAGAAGGCAAGATTTTCAAAATCATATTTTAGTACTTTAGACTCAAATTCTGTGAAATGCAGCTCTTATTTAAAATTATTTTCCCACAATAATTTTATTTTGGAATAGACATACCGGAATTCTCAGTGCTGAATTGCCAAAGCCTTGTTAGGCCTTCTCCCACATGCCTGCCAAGAAGCAGGAAGGGGTCTGACTACCACCTTCTAAAGCCTGTCCTGCTAGTGTGTGGCCAAGTATTTCTACAGGCCCTGTGGAGTCCCCAGCCCACTGGGTCCTTATTCTCTCATTGCTTTGGGAAGGGATGAGAAGGTGGGTTACCTTATTAACAAGACCCTTTGGAAGTTTTAGTTGCAAATATTTCTTGATGTGAAGAACCAATATCCAATGATTTTAAGTGCATGTGTGTGTGTGTATGTGTGTGTGTGTGTGTGTGCGCGCACCTTGGTCAAACTAATTTAACCATGAGCCCATAGTGTTTGTAGAGTGTAAGAGGTTAGCCATACAGAGTGAAGGTGGAGAGGATTTTGGAGGTGGCAGGATGGAGAAGGTAATAAAGTTCCTCTTGCTTAGCCCTCTTATTCCCCGAGTGAGTTCCAGGGAACCCTCAAGTTCGGTAGAACCAAGTTTAAATCCATAGTTCTACTTCATAGCCAGCAGAGTTTGGGGGTACAAAGGCAGTTGGTCTTTTATTTAGATGAACTAAGATGTTGATATGACCACAGTAAATTCAGGAAGGGACACATCAGGCATACCAAACCCAGGACAGGATATCAGCCAGCCAAGGAGCCCACAGAACCCAGGATACCATACTCATTTCATATATCATGTTGTCTTTTGGTGATGGAGGGCACTTTTCTGGGATTATGGTCATGTAAACTGGACCAATAGATTGGCTCTCTCTCTCTCTCTCTCTCTCTCTCTCTCTCTCTGTGCCCCACCCCTTCCTTCCTCCCTCCCTCTCTTTCTTTCTTTCTTTCTTTTCTCTCTCTCTCTCTTTCTTTCTTTCTTTCTTTCTTTCTTTCTTTCTTTCTTTCTTCCTTCCTTTCTTTCTGACAGAGTCTCACAATGTAGTTGAGGCTGGCCTTAAACTCACTGTGTAGCCCAGGCTGGCTTTAAACTTGCAGTGATCCTCCTGCCTCAGCCTCCTAAATGCTGGTATTACACCACGTCCAGCTTTTCTTTCTTTTTTAACTTCTTTTTTCCTTTTTCTATTTATTTATTTAATACTGGAATTGAAACCAGGGTCCCCTGAGTTGTACCTCACCAGTGAATTTTTTATTGTTGTTTTGGTTTTGATTAGGGCATTTTTGGCAGTTGTTTTGCGTTGCATTCTTGTCATTTTGTTTTGATCAGTACATTTTCCCCTTCCAATTTAAGGAAAGTACATGTCTTCTAAATGCACTACTACCTCTGACAGCGTGTGTTTGCCCTGTGGCCCAGATGAATACTTGGATACCTGGAATGAAGAAGATAAATGTTTGCTGCATAAAGTGTGTGACACAGGTGAGTTAGTCACATCCATGTGTCAGTGGGAAGTGTGGAAACCCAGTATCCATCTTGTGTTCCATCTTTTGTTCCTCTGATCTCTTCTTTATAAATATTTTTAGATACAGCCAGTGCTGTTTCTTTTGAAGGGCCTGGGAAGCAATTATGGCCATGGATTTGGACGCTCAATGCCTAAGATGAAAAAAAATCTATGTTTAAAACTTTTGTTCTGGAATATGTTTATGTTGGAATTTAATCATGGACACAACGTACATTTGACAGAATGTTTCCACAGTATTGGTATATGCATGGTCTCATTTAACCTTCTCTCAGCCCTGTGAGGTAGTCATGTTTGTCCGATTTTACATATGGAGAAACAAACTTAAAGGCTGAATAACTTCTCGAGTGCTAACTGATGAGGAGCAGGACTCAAAACCAAACTTTTGAGTTGTAAACCTTTTTCCTAAACTACAAATGTTCTGTTGGCTCTACAATTTGATTTTCTTCCTAGACTGCCATAATTTTTTTTCTCAAATGTGTTTTTAAGTTATAGTTTGTTTTTAGGAATCAGAATCAAGATATGTCTCATAAGTTTCCTAATTTAGAGATTACTCTCTCCTTTTTCCTTTTTCTATCCTGTTCATGTGTTGAAGAAAGCATGATGTTAGTGCTGAGGAGGTTGCAGTCTGGATTTTCCTAGGGGCATCCTCTTGATGTCATTTAACATATTCTTTTGTTGCCTATATATTTCCTGCAAATTGGGTGTATATAATAACAGTCGTTTGATATATCTAGAAAGTGAATCAAGTTCTGATTTACTTTTTGTCTTGTTTGGATTTTGGCAAATCCCCTTTATAGATACAATAACTCACATATATAATATTGGAATTATATAATGACTGCTTATCTCTCTTGTGGCTTTAAAAAATTATTTTGAGACAGGGTCTTGCTAAATTGCCCAGGCTGGCTTCAAATTTGTAATCTTCCTGTCTCAGCCTCCTGAGTAGTTGGGATTACAGGTGTGCACTGCTGTGCTCCGCAGCTGCTTATCCCTTTTTGTGATATTAGCAGCTGCTTCATAAGCATGACCTAGATCTGTTTTCATTAGGAGCTATAGAAAGATGATCTACTTCTGTCATTCCTTCTCAATTTATTAGTTGGTTTGCTTCATAAAGAGAAACTTCCTTATCAACTATTTGTTACCCTGAAGTGCAGTACATATAGGAAAGGCAGAATAAATGCTTGTAATATTATCAGTTTTCAAAGTAATGACTTGAGCATCCAGATTTCTCCCAGGAATTTGTTTTTGTTTTTTTGTGGGGGTTTTTTTTTTTTTGGTATGGGGGATCGAACTCGGGACTGTGCGCTTGCAAGGCAGGCGGCAGAACCACTGAGCTAAATCCCCGGCCCAGGAATTTGTATTCATGTTATGAATTCATGAATTTAGATGTATTTGAGGTGTTTCAATCTATTGGAATAACTATTGGTTTTATTAGTGCTCAGATTATCCCACTTCCTCAAAATGGTTCCAGGTCTTCTGGTACAACCCCAGACATTTTGGAAGGCTGCCTTGCTTCCAGACTTAGGTTGGACATTTCCTGCCCTGATCTGTAATCAGTCCTTTCTCCAGGGACTCCTGACTGCCTTTAGTGGTACATTTTATTTAGTGACCTCAGGCAAAGTGCTTGGGTGATTCATTGCTACTGGATCAATCTCCATTGTAGTTTTTGTCCCCCACCTTTGGACAAAGCTAGAGAATAAGTATTTTTTAAACTATAATTTTTCTAATGTGTTAAAGATGGCTGGATATTTTTGGATGAAGGAAGGTAACATGGAAACTTCACTGAGCAGAAGCATCTGATTAAGTCTTTTTTATTTCCCACTGCTTAGTAATGAGCTTGACTCATTACTGTCTTTTGGAAATAAAGATTCATTCTGTCTACTGCCAAAGTTGATTAAAGCCTAAAACTGGGTGCATTAAAGTATTTTGGAATATGTCAGTAAATTCAACACTCCCCAGGCTTACATTCACTGACATTTGAGTAGGATACTGGGAGTCCTTGGAATTTTCCAGAGAAATTGCATATGTCTGTGTAAGTTCTTGTGCTCCATGTATGTTTCCACATATTGGCAGTTGCTGCAGAGCTGACTTGGGTTTGGAGTGTGGACACAGGAGGGTATGGGGACTTCTTCAGGTTCACCATGCTTGGGTCTGAAAAGACTGGAAATAGGAAATGCTCCCTCTCTATTGGCCATAACTTGGGACAATGAAGGAAGGAACAGATTTCTGATTTGTCTTCTCTTCCCCTGAAACTCCTAAATGTATTCAGGAATATAAGGAGAGAGGGCTATTTGGACAGTCCTGCTGAGATGGAGTCCTACACAGGTACAAGGTCTGTTTTCAGCAATGTTATGGATTTGTATTTTGTGTGTGTGTGTGTGTGTGTGTGTGTGTGTGTGTGTGTGTGTGTGGTATCATAGATCAAATTCCCACGTACCAGTATTGCAGAAAAACTGGAACCGGTCAGATTTGAAGTAAGAAGACACGCATTTTTCTATGTCTTATGGAAAAAAGAGAAAAATATGTTATCCTAAGTGGAGAAGAGACTGATTCCCAAGCATGTCTCCTTGTCTGCCTCTATGCTTTCTCTACTTATCTAACTACCTTGGGACTCTTCGGGATCTCAAGATGAATCCAATTCTCCAGAAGCCCTGTTGTCTTAGGTCTAAAGTAGCCTTAGTGTTAATACCGATGATATTTGAATTTACTAAAATTCAAGAAGCTTTGTAGTGTTCGACTATTTTGCATTTACTAAATAGCAATCACACATTCCCCAGTCCTTAATCTTTCTACTACTATGGAAATTAGTTTTGTGAGAATGCTCACAAAAACGCATAACTCTTAGAGAAACAACAACAACAACAACAAAAAACCCGCTGGTGTTTTTGCGCCAACACAGGAAGCGCCAGGAGGAACCTGGGAGTTCCTTAAAGCAAGTGTCCTGAGTGAGTCATGCTGCAGGCCAGCCGGGCAGCTCTGTCGGGGCGGTTGGAGGCCGGCTGTGCTTTCTAACCTCTTGGTGGCCATTGACCTGTCTTATGTCTCCCGCAGGCAAGGCCCTGGTGGCGGTGGATCCCGGCAACCATACGGCCCCGCGGCGCTGCGCCTGCACGGCTGGGTATCACTGGAGCCAGGACTGCGACTGCTGCCGCCGCAACACAGAGTGCGCGCCGGGCTTCGGCGCTCAGCACCCCTGTACGGTTGTGTGTCTGTGCACGCGCGCGCGTGTGTGTTTATGCACGCGTGCGTGTGCTCCAGTCCGCTTCCACAGAGCCATGAAATAAAAATCAGGGCATAGCGAGCCTCCAGGCAGTTTTTACTTAGGGCCTCTTTAAGCAGGCCGTGGTGACCCTGTTGTGATTGTAGCACTCTGGGAGGCTGGAGCAAGAGGATGACCGTTGGAGCCAGCCTGGGCAATTTAGCAACTTAGTGACACCCGGTTTCAAAAAAATGAAGACTGAGAATGTAGCTCAGAGTGAAGGCCCTGGGCTCAATCCTCCATTGGGTGGGGGGATTATTAACGCTCCAGGCAGCCGGATGACACTAGAGGAACCTTCGGATGAGAGAGACCCTTGATTTTCCACAAGAGGCAGATGCAGGCAAGATCGAGAAAGAAACACTGGCTCAGGCTCTTCACAGGGAATGTGAGCTGCAAGCCTACACGCCCTTGTCACACCACTGTGGCACTGGGGCTGCTCCAGCAGCAGTGAAACCCTGGGATCCCCCATTAGGATAACACAGGGATCCTCCCTTTTTTTTTTTTTTTTTAAGACAGTCTCACTGTACATAGCCCAAGCCTGCCTTCAACTGCCTAGGTAGCCCAGGCTGGTCTCAAACTTTTGATCTTTCTGCCTCAGTCTCCCCAGTGCTTAGATTATAGGCCTGTATCACACTACTACCAGCTTTTTTTTTTTTTTAAATTATGTGCCCTCTGAGAAAAAACCATGCACTTCAGGTATAGTTTTAAGTTAGCATCTACAGTTTTTTATTACCGATTTAAAGAGTTGCTAAGGACTTAGTTACTAGGGAATTATGTGCAGTTAACACATTTAAAAATAGTTATTGGACTCTAAACATCATAGCAATTTAAAATGCACTAATCATTTTTCACTCAGGAATTTTATGGAGTTTCTTTCTCTCCTTTTAATTTGTATCCATTCCATCATCCCCACAAAATTTTATCCCAAAATATGTTTATGCTTGGGGGGCTTTTTTCAAAAAAAGGGACCTATTTGAAATTGCAATTTAAAAAAATTTACTGTGACAAGGTTCTTAGGGTTAAAAACATTTTACTGGACTGAGTTGCCTTCACATTTATTATTACAGTTTGTCACAGATGGATACATTTTGCTATATTATAATCAAAAAGTAAAAGCTTTTGAACTTTGTAATGAGTAGGATTTTTTTTCCATTATATATTCGTGAGTGAATGCTGCTTATTGCTTAAATGTAACAGGATTCAGCATCAGTTCTTTTTCTGGTTTTGGTCATATATGTAAATTATAAGACAGACACCTGTTATTGGGGTGTCCCCCAGTTACATCAGTACATTCTGGGTTATATGTCCAGAATCACACAGTGATGTGACATCAGAAATTATTTTTTCATGATTTTTCATTTCATAACTCAATTGTATCCTTCAGTTTTGTTTTAAGTAAAGAAATAGAAATCCTCTTGTCATGGGGAAGTGACTACCAACCTATTAGATGTCAGAGGTGCTGAATTTGTGTCTCTTGATAACCAAAGAACAAGGGAGGTTAAGAGTAGGAAAAGTTTATTGAGAGAAAGCTCCTGAGAGATGGGAGGGATTTTGAGTAGGTGGCCGCCAATGCTGGTTTGACAATTTGTGCAAAATCACAATTTGGGTAACTATGGGTCAAACTGTGATCAACCTGTAGGATTGCAAGTATAGTCACTTAGCTAATAGTGATCCAATAGGGAAGTGAGGTACGTAGCAAGGGTGTACAATGTGCATCACTAACTTTAGCTTATCTGTAACTTCTCAGGTAGAAAGATCAAAGGCATTCTGGGAAAGGGATGAGAGTAAGGATCAGGGTGTTCTGGTCACCCACCTATGCACCTGATGCCTTAGCTAGTTTCACTGGACCAGGTGGTGCTGATTACAGTAGAGTCTTAAACCAGTGTCTATCTCTAGGGAGCTTGTAGGCCTGGTTCTCTGCTGGTTCATCTCTAGGCACAATTTTGATGTGTCTCATCGTGTTCATTGACTCCCTTGAGGGCCTGGTCCCTCTTTGACTGCCTTTTAATTTCTATCTAATTCAGCTAGCTAAAAAAACTCTCAACAGAAGTACTTCTTAGAGTCATTTGCTTCCCTTATTTCTAGAAAGTATAACAAAGCAGTGTTTTCAAGATGCAGCAAATGGGTAGTTATGCCTGTTAATCCTCCACTTAGAGACACCTTGTTTTAAGCCAAAATACTTGGACAGAGTTGGGAGAGTTACTGGCATAGTCAATCCTTATTATCTATCATATGCATTGACTGACTCAGACATGCTTTCTCATGGAAAAGTCCACCTTGATTTTAAATTATTAAAACTCTCTGTCACAGCCAGCTCCCCCTGAATTCTGATTCTAAGACAGACAAGTGCAGAGCCTTTCCACAAGTTTCTCACTTGTGTGAAACAAAGTGCTGCCTTCAGGATTTCTGGTAGATATTCTTCCTGCTTTGTACCTTTGGGGATGATGCATTCTTTGATAATAAGTATAAGATAGAGGGCTTCAGATGGAGGGGTAGAATTTCACTCCTGCTCAACTTTGTAGTACATTTGAATTCAGAACAACTCAATCTGGTCCCAAATATCCTCTTTCTATGGCACACTTTTGACCATAGGGAAAGAGAGGAGCTAGACTGGGGTGCTATGAATGCAGGAGCTTTGACATCAGCAATGTTTCCTTTGTCATTCTGTTTGGCACGGTAGCAGGATTTGGGGTGCCTTCTTTTTAAGTGGGAGAAGCATAATTATAAAAGAGAGAAAGGAAGGAAGCCTAAAGATGCTTCTGGTGGCTCAGTGTTACCAAAGAGTCATGTGGAAGTCAAATGTATGGAAATGAATGCCCTTAAATTTCTGTGTGGCTGGTCGGCCTTTGGGAAGCCTCTTTGCTTTTTGAAGACTTCTCAGAATCTTCTAGATAGTGTTCATTTTTTAAAAACTATTTGAGTTGATGCGAGTTATTAGATGTTAACTGGCTTTTATTAATATAATTTCAAAGCAAATTGCATTGCCAGATCAAGAGGCAGTTACCCTCTGACTGATTCTGAGCAGCAGAGGGTCCGTAGCAGAGCTGGCCTGGACCTAGGCATCAGATACTGGTAGTAGTGGCCTGACCTGGAGCAGATTACCTTTCTGAACACAATTCTTTTGCTCACTGTGGACATCAGAACTGCTTTGTAGGCATAAGCTCAGGAGCTGGAGCCATTAGACACAGGTGGGGAGGGATGGGCAGGGATGGGGACAAGAAGCAGAGAGGGACAGCATCCTGACTGATCTCTAAGTGTGCTTGCTTGTTTTTGTCTGTTTGGTCTGTTGTCTTTTTTGACAGTGCAGCTCAACATGGACACACTGTGCAAGCCTTGCCTTGCGGGCTACTTCTCAGATGCCTTTTCTTCCACTGACAAATGCAAACCCTGGACCAAGTGAGTAATGACGAAGGAGCCAAAAGAGTTGGTTGTTTTTTAAACAACTTGACCTCCACTGTCTCATCTGGGTTGAAAACAGGCTGATTCCATTTGGTTGGGCTTCCTCTTAGGAAAACATCTGGCAATTCTGTGTGGGGAAAATAGACTAGTCAACCCAGTTCTTCAACCTGTTGTGTGATAGGAACTTTGTGTTTCTAGATTCAGTAGTCTATAACTTAATGTTGCATCTTCTTTCATTTTTTAAAACTTTCTAATTAAAATTTTCTAATTTTTAAAATAATTTTTTAATTTGGTTGAAAATGACTTATGACTTCTTTTGGGGGATGCTGGGATTGAATTCAGGGTTTCCCCCTTTACTGGGCAAGCACCCCACCACTGAGTTACACCCTCAGCCCAGTTTATGACATTTACTATCATTCACTTATCATTCTTGCTTTTTTCGGTTTCCCAACATCACTGTTTTATTCATCCAGAGTTTGTATATCTGCCCTAAATATGTGCACCTGGATCTTTGTGGCTTTTTAAAGCTATATAGTATTTCACTGTAGAAATATACTAAATTTATTTAATAAATTTCTTGATAGTCATTTAGATTGTTCCCAGTGTCTTGCAGTAATACATAATTTTGTAAAGAATAATGTCATATAGAGTTTAAGTATCCATTATCCAAAATGCTTGGGACCAAAAATGTTTCAAGTTTTAAATTTTTTTCAGATTTTGGAATATTTTCTCATACATAATGAGATATTTTAGGAAGGAGACTCAAGTTTAAACACAGAATTAATTTTGTTTCATATACACATTATATACATAGCATGAAGGCAATTTATGTTATTTTAAATTATGTTTGTGAGTGAAACAAAGTTTCATGGTGTCAGGTTTTCTAATTGTGAGGTCATGTTGGTGCTCTGAAGCATTATGTATGTTAGATTTTTAGAGTAGGGATGATTAATCTGTATATGCTATGGCACACTTACTTGAGTTTATCCATGGTAGAATTCCAATATAATGATTCTTTCAGTTCTCAATATATTCTTATTAAATGCTGATTTTCTGATCCATGTATCCTAGTTTTATGTTGAAATTATATAGTGTATTTTTCAACTTCAAAAAAGAATTAATCACAAATTCACCACTTAGGCTGGGGATTTAGCTCAGTGGCACTGTGTCTGCCTGGGAAGCTCAAGGTCCGGAGTTGCTGGTACCGGAAAAAAAAAAGCTCGCCACTTAGCCATGGTAATTGAAACATTTGGAATCTTCTTTACTACACTCTCACTCGCCATGCTCTCAGAAGTTCTTAGAGTATTCACTAAGAACTTTTTCCACTTTTGTGATGTTCCATTCCCTTGTGGATTCAAATGTCCAAGAAGACATGGGCTCCTCCTGAAGGACCTGGCAAGGTACCCATAGTATAGAAGAGTCTTTTTTGTTTTTAAAACAAGAATATTAAACCAAAGCCCTTAACTGTTCTTCCCCCCACAGCTGTACTGTCCTTGGAAAGACAGAAGAACATCATGGGACAGAGAAATCAGATGTGGTTTGCAGTTCTTCTCTGCCATCTAGAAAACTGCCAACGGGTATGCTTGACCCAAGCGTGTGGGGTGGTAGATGTGCCCAGTATGGTCAGCTGTCTACCTCTCTCAGAAATTGCATACTGTATTTACATGGCTTCATCTGTCCCTTTCCATTTCATCCTATCCATGGTCAGCTCGGTATTCCATTTTTATTAGCATTTTAACTCTAGCTATGTTGTTTATTCAGTTTTTTAAAAAGTAGCACTAGGGCTTGAACCCAAGAACTTGAACAGGCTAGGCTACTTGATAACTTTTGACACTGGATTGGAGATACCTAATGATATATTTATACACAGAAAGAAAAGAAAGCTGCAAACATGAATGAAAATTTCCAGACAGTAGGGTGATGATGATCACAGTGAGCTGACTGTGTGGAGATTTTGGTCATGAACCAGAAGTAGTAATTTGTTAGAATCTAGCTGTCGTGATTTATGGAACATCTTATAAATCAAATTAATTTTAAGCACAATTTCAAAGATTGACAGAAAGTTGCTGGTTAATGAAGGAGGCTGGTTACTAGAGGTGAGTGGGTCAGTGTGGAGGTGGGTCTGGATATTGGAAGAGATAAGAGAAGTAGCATTATCTTTTTAATGAGGTAAGAGAACATAGATCACAGAACAATCAGGTAGGCAGGTCAGGGGTTTAAATTTGACATTTTGAGAAACAGGAAGTCATTAAAGCATGTGGATATGGAGTTACACAATCAGAGCAGAGTTTTTGAAAGACCATTTGGAAGACAGCATGAAAAATAACTGAAGGAAGGAAAGGCTATTTTTTAAAAGGAGAGAAGGAAAGGAAATGTGGGAGTCCAGGAACCAACGGTTTATAATACAAAGGTTCTAACAAAGATGTGACTGAGGAGGGATGAAGAAAATGGTGGAATCCGTGTTGTATCATAGCAGAAATACTTCCCTGAGGCTGAGGTTCTAGTCTCATGGCCAGCGAAACCCTGGTGCCATGCTGGTATTTGGACAGGTGAAGGCTTCCTTTTGCCCGCAGAGGCATCCACTGGAAAGAGGAAGCAGGGCGTCGTGGTGAGCGCAATGAGAGTTGTTGTGAAGTAGAGACGTAGTGATATCCTGGAATGACCTCACACAGAGTGGAGCCAGACCAGGTAGCACTGGGCTTGGCAATATGAGCTCTCTGAAAAATGCCCAGTTAGGCCTGAAGAGCTCCCTGCTTATCCCAGACCCATATCCATGATTCTGAGGTTGGAATTCTAGGGTTTTGTTTTTAAATTTTATAAAATTAAATAACCTTTAATATTATATTTTTCATTTTCTTCCAACACAGACCCCCAGATTTACTTGCCCAGTTTAATCATTCTGCTTCTCTTCATGTCTGTGGCATTAGTGGCTGCCGTCATCTTCGGTGTTTACTATAGGAAAAGGGGGAAAGCAGTAACAGGTACTGTGTCTAGTGTGATGTTTGAAAATTAATCTTGAAAAAATAGATACATTTGTAGGTAAATGCTTTGGAAGATGAGTAGATTGTCCACTGGGATCTGTTTAAATAAAGGTGATTGCACTTTAAGAGGAGAAACACCTTCTGTATGTGATTCATTGCTCTCTAGTAAAACAAACAAAATAAAAAGCCAACTTTGTACCTGTTTTAGCCTTTGGGGAAACTGATGACTTGTAAGCTTTGTGTTTCAGATGTATAGATTGTGTAGCATCCGATATATATATTTTAAATGTATGCATTTAAAAGAGAGACAATGTTCAGATGAAGAACAGAGGAGGTTTTGATTGGAGTGTTATCTTCAAATGTGAATCTAAAATTATAAATTATATGAAGTCAAATTTAGGTGCTCATATTTAGAATGGATAATCTAATGTTGCTTTCGATAGTGTCTTTAAATATCACATCATGTTTGACTTAAACTTCAAAGCTAAAAGCAGTATAATTTTTATGAAAGGATTCAAGGCTTCATTCAGCTTGAGAAAGGTATTTCTTAATCTTTTAATGCTCAAATCCTTCTCTTCTGAAGCATCTGTCATGTTGCTGTCCTTTTCCATTTGCAGTTGCTCACTTGTTTATTTTGCCCACCACTGCTCTGCTGTGATTCTCCTATATCACATCCAGGACTTCGTGGAGCCTTGTATAGCTTGCTGTTTCTATTAACATTATGTTGATTAATGTCCTGAACAATCAAAGATAATTAAAGAAAAACATAGTAACTGAAGGTGTTATTGTTAAGTGAGACCAGTGCTTGGGCAGGGACCACTTTGTTTTTTAAAGAATCTATTCATTACTGAGAGAATTAACAAAGAAAATGGTGAAGCCAAAATCATATCATAAATGATATAGCAGAAATGCTTCCCAGGGCAGCCTTTCACTTGTCTAACAACATCACAACCCAGAATTTAGAAAATATATATTCATATGATGAGGATCACTTAACCAGTCATGTTAATGTGAGACAGACTTCTGATGTTTTGTTCTTTAGTTGTTTCTCTTTAATGATATTTTACTGCCTTATCTTACCAAGAAAAACAGTAAGCCAATCAATTACTTGATTGGGAATTATGACTGCTGGCTTTCTTTTCATCCATTCATTCCACATGTTTATTGATCACCTGGGACAGGACTGGCAATAGAGCTTCAATACAGACACAGCCAGGACCTTCCTAGAGGAGGCATCTTAGTGGGCAAGGGAAGTGTCAGATTTCCAAAGTAAAGTTGAGGATGGAAAGGTAAGTGCCCAGTGCCAAGTAGAAGATGCCAAAGGGTCTGCCCGGCCTTGGGTCAGCTGGGACCTCCCAGAGGAGGAAACAGGTGACCTAAGCTTTGGAAGACAGGCTAGAACTTTCTAATCAGCCCCTGGGGAACTAAGGTGAATCACAGTATCCTGAACTGAGAGAACTGCACACTGGGGAACATAGAAAGTTGGGGGATTGAAAGAGGCTCGTGTAGCTGGAGTGCAAAATACCAGAACCATAGCAAGATAAGCCAGATGACACCACCCTGTAGGTCTTTTAAGGCCTACTATAACCTCTGGTTATAATATAGAAAACAAATTAGGGGAATGCAGGAAGAGTTGCAGGTACACCAGCTAGTAAGGCTGCTGTAATTGTCCATGGAGGGATGATGAATGGTTATCACCTCTAGGTACAACTATTATTTTTAGTACCATTTGTACTCATCCAGTACTGATTCCTATAAAGAAAGAACTGCAACTGTCTTTTGATTTGGGGTAATTTTATTTTGATAAATTTAAAAATTATAGGGAAGCAAGAAAATGATGATGATGATGAGTAGGAGGATTATGTTGATAACAGCAATGACCAACATATTTGGGTAGTTAGTATGTAAAAAGCATGGCTATTTATATTTATATATTCTAAATAAATTTTCACAAAAGTACCACGAGGTACTGTTATTTCCCCCATTTTCTGGTGAGGAAACTGAGACTCAGAGAGGTTAAACTGTGCAAAGTCACATAATAAAGGCTGTAGCCGAAATGATATTATATGTATCAACCAATGAGGACTGTGCCTGGCACATTTAAGGGCTTAGTGCATGAGAGATTGTTAGCTATTATTATGAACTGTGATTATGTTCCAGTGAAGAACTGACAATCCTAACTTTAGTCTTAATAGTGAATACAACATTGAATATTCATTAGAGGTGGGTTAAATTTTTATCTTTGCAAGCCACACCAGCCTGGCAAGTGCAAGGTCCTGAGTTCAATCCCCGGTACCAAAAAAATTTTTATCTTTGCATTATACAAATTCATAGCTTTTTTAAAATTCAGAGATTTGACTTTTTAGATTTTATCACTTCTATTTTATTAAAGTTATGGAGCTGTCCTCAGTATATACCTCAGAACATACTCTTCTTAGAAGCAAGAAGGTATGGTGGAAAAGATTTGCTGTTGGAACTCAGTGGGTCTGACCCTTAGCTCTACACCTTGTACTTCACATTTTTTTTTCTTAGCAGTACTGAGGGGAACCCAGGAAGTTTGTACTGAGCTACTTCCCAAACCCCTTTTTATTTTTTGTTCGAGATAGGGTCTCATTAAGTTGCAAAGTTTCCCAGGCTGATCTTGAACTTGAGATCCTCCTACTTCAGCTTCCCAGTATGCTGGGATTACAGGCATGTACCACCAAGCCATGATGTACCTCACTTTTATTTTACATGTACTTGAATTAGTGTTTAATCACTTTACCATCTCTGGGACAAAATACTCGATACCCACAACTTAAAGGAGAAGAAGGTTTTGGTTCATGATTCGGGGGATTCAGTCCATATTTGGTTGGCTGAGTTCAAGAGACAACTATCATGGTGGAAGGGCATAGTGAAGGAAAACTGCTCATCTCTCTGCAGCCAGTAGACAGGGAGAGAGAGAGAAGGGAGGAGCAGGGGACAAGAATACATTCTTCCAGGTCACATTCCCAATCATCCATTTTTTCTAACCAGGCCCCACCTCTTAACAGCACATTCATCTGTGAACTTATCAGTGGATTAAGCCACTTCTGGGTATGTTGCCCCCGTGATACAATCACCTTGCAAAACGCTCTGCCTGCAAACACATGAGACTTTGAGGATATTTTAGATCTCAACCACAATAGCTAGTTTGAAGGAAAATCAGTCTCCTAGACACATTTTCTTTGTCCCCTAACATACTTAGCTTGATCTCTCATATTCAGGGAAAATTGCCAAGGGAATGTGAATGCAAGGATGTTGCAATTGTCTGTAGTCTAAAAGTACTCTTAGAGCCCCAGATATAACACAGGTATTTTATGGAACATTAGTGGGCCATGTTTTTCATTATCTAGAACAGAAAGTTCTGTTTTTGGTAAGAGTTAGATGATTTCATTGTCTTTACACAGTTTTCAAAATAATTTTTTTAAAATTTTGGTTTGTGTTAGTACTCGTTTGCAGTACATAATGATTACATTCATTGTGGGAAGTAGGTACATGTATATAACACATGTATAACATGTATATAACATGAATATAATTATTTCCCCCTTCTCCTTCACCCCCATTTAAATTTTTTTCTTTTTTTTTTGCCAGCATCAGATTCATTTATTTATTTTATAAATCCTTCTCAAGTTAACACAGATTAACAGCCAGAATAATAGGGCAAAAAACCGTATAATACATAAGACAATTATACTAAATCGAGGTACACTTTTAGATACATTGGCCAGGCTGGATTACAGTAACTCTCTCTCCTTTCTATGTCTCTTTGTCTCCCTATTGTCTGTCTTTTCATAGTCTTTAAATTAGTTTGTTTGTTTGTTTGTTTACTTATTTATTTATACTAGTTATGAACCTAGGGCCTTATTCAGGCCAGCCAAGCACTCTACAATGACCTACACCCTCAGCCCCAGTTGATTTGTTTTTAAATGCATTTACTTCCAGGCTCACTCACTGAAACATTGGCGTTGGAGTATGTTTAAGATAGTATTTAACTAACAGAAGGCTCAATAATTCTGAGCCTGACACAGAAAAATAAGTTGTTCCCCATGTGGCATCATTTAAAAAAAGAAGAAAGTCAAATATACATAAGCAGAGAGTAAAACAGTGGTTACAGGGGTAAGGGGAAAGGAAATGTGGAAATGTAGGTCAAAGAATGCTAAGTCACATGTATACAGAATAAACAAGTCTGGAGAATTGTATTGTATTCACGTTTTTCTGCTAAATGAGTTGAATTTAGCTCTTCACACACACGCATGCACACACACACACAATGGGTAACTATGTGACATAATGGATAAGTTAATTTGCTTTACTACAGTAACCATCTTTCTACCGATATTTATCCTGTAACATCATGTTGTATAACTTAAATATACAAAAATATGTAAAAAAAAAAGAAGTAGGAAATATACAAAAAATTTATTTTGAAAAAGAAATCGGAAAGTATAATGTGAAGCCCTTATCCTTCCTTTGTTTTTCTAGCAAATTTGTGGCACTGGGTCAATGATGCTTGCAGTCGCCTAAGTGGAAATAAGGTAAAGTTAAAAGTTTTTAGTGCTTTAAGTACTTTCAAAAATTAGCCTCATGTGACTGTAATTAGTCAACTCTTGAGTCCCATTGCTTAAGGGGCACCTCCATATATGGTGTCAAACCTCAAATCCAAGGACTGTTTCTTGCTGAGTTGCCCAGGACCCAAGTTAGAGCTCACTGTAAATGCCTGTTTTTCTTTTTGTTCCATTCCATGTTTGTAACCCAGACCTTTACACATCCTAGGCAAGCACTCTACCACTGAGCTTCCCCCAGCCCTCATTCCACTTCTGTTGTCTCTCTGTATGTTATTTTTCTAGTACCAGTCTTGATTGCCTAGTACAGAGTGCTAGGAGGAATAAGCTACAACTCTCCTTTGATCTTACAGTTATTTTGGTAACTTTTTATTTTGACATACTTTCAAAATTACAGAAAAAAATAGTGAGACTGTGATAACAAACTGCCATATGCCCTGTACCCAGATTCACCCGTTGTTTATATTTTATTATGTTGCTTTATTCTTTGCTTTCTTTCTCTTAGTATATGAAGATGCATATTTTTTGGAATAATTTTAAAGTGAATGGAGATGGTGTGTTCCTATATTTTTAAATACCTCAGTGTCCATTTCTTAAGAATAAGGACATTCTTATATATAACCGTAGTACATTTGTCAAAAATCAAGAAATTTAACAATTTACAGTAGTATAATACTATTTTCTAATACACATTTGATACTAAAATTCCATCAATTCTATTTTGTCTTTTAAATCTATTTTCTTAGATATAAAAATATATCAGCTTTAAGATCATACTGCATTCTCTAATTCCATTCCAAACACTAAAGAATTCATTCCCATCTTTCCCTTTTTTGTATTTGAAGCTTCCGTTTTCTACCAATATGACATCTGGCTCCTCTTATTCTCAATGTGTTTACTCATTTGCTCAGTTATAGAATACACAGAAAGTAGTTTCAGAATTATTAAACCTTACCACAGAAAACACAGAGCTACTAACTAAAATTTAGTATTTAGTTACAGTTTGGTTTTATGATAATACTGTTATCTATTTAGATTGATAGCATATGATCAAAATATTGTGCTCAGATGTTACTTAGGTTAGTTCTTTCCTTGCATAGGAATGAATATGCTATTCTTTTGAAATACAGTAAGACTGATTAATTTCTGGTTGTATTCCATTTTAGGGTTCTCTTTCATTCTGTAATTTTAAATAGAACAAATAAAGTGCTGTGGTGAATGTGTGCCATCTGTACTTGTTGGAAATAATTAGTCCAAACACTGTTTTTAGCAGTGGTTAGCTGAACATGTTCTAATAGCTCTGGGTATTGATGCCTCTGCCTTCTGAATTTATATCTGCAGGAGTCCTCAGGTGACAGCTGTAATGGTGTTCACTTGGCAGCCTCTCCTCAGCTCAAAGTGTGTGAAGGTGTCTTACTGCTGAATCTGGAGGAGAAGATGATTCCACAAGATACGTGCTGTCCAGACGGTGCCGGTGTCTTTGGAGGTGCATGTGCAGGAGCTGGGCCCTGTGCACAGGGTGAAGAAGCCGGAACATTCTCTTTGGTTGAGATTGAGGGGGACTCTTTCAGGCAGATTCCCATGGAAGATGAGTACATGGACAGGCCCTTGCAGTCTTCAGAATGTTCACTGTTCCAGACCCAGCCTGGAAGCAAATCTACACCGCCTTTCTCTGAACCCCTGGAGGTGGGAGAGAATGACAGTCTAAGCCAGTGCTTCACAGGAACTGAGAGCATGGTGGATTCAGAAAGCTGCAACTTCACGAAACCCCCATGTAGGACTGACTGGATTCTTGAGTCCCCTGAAAAATACTCACAAAAAGAGGTGGAAGATGGCAGTTGCCCATACTGGGCAGCTGGTGCCAGCTTGGCAGACAACTGCATAGGCTGTGGGAACCCTCCTGGGGAGGACCGTCAACCCCTCGTGAGTTCCTTGCAATGTGGACACTTGCCCCAGTGTGCCTATGGCATGGGCCTCCCCACTGAGGACATAGCCGGCAGGGCAGAGTGGGGTGACACACCCCAGGATGGGGATGATGTGAGGCTTCCAGGCTCCTCAAAAAGAGGCACTGGATCTGGGAGCTCCCCCAGTGATCAGACACCTGTATCTGGTAAGTTAATTTCCTTGTTTCCCACCTTTGGGCAAAAGAGCCTATTCTTGATACAGGGCTTGGGGCAGGTATCACAGACCACTTAGGGAAAAGGAAAATAACATGGGAAAATTCAACGTGACTCTTTTCTCTTAATAAGTGTCTTTACTGGAGGTGTTTAGGTTCAGTCCGTATGTCAGGTGGTGGGTTGTGTTCACTTCTGTGACTTCATTTTCTACTACCAGGGCTCTTACTGCACTTACAGACATCCCATATCCTTTTGCATTCAGGCTTCTCATGGTTAGGTTAGACCTCAGACTTCCACACTAACACCTGCCAGAGTCAACACTGACCTCAGGACTGGCTGAATCAAGGTGTTACCATAGATTTCTGGTGTTTGGTCTTTGTTTTAGAACTAACTTAATGGGCCGGGGGTTTGGCTCAGTGGTTCCACCGCCTGCCTCACAAGCATAAGGTCCTGAGTTCGATCCCCAGTACCACCAAAAAATAAATAAATAAATAAATAAATAAAACTTAAGCTTCTTAAATCTCTCCTAAGAAAGCTCTTATAAATTTCAGGAAGACAAAAATATATAGTTAATTGTTAATTAGTTAATATTTGAGTAGCATCTTGATTCTATACCAAATTAATGGTGCGGTAAAAATGTCTTTAAATGCTTTATAGGAGAAGCCCCTTTTATAACCAGTATGTATAACATGTTTATAGAGCCCAGAGGATAATTTACAATCTAACATTATTATAGAGATTTATTGCTGCAACACTGCTTGAGCATGAAAAACTCACCAGTGATATTGTGACTTTTTCCCGAGGATAAAACACCATCTGCTTCATTATGTACTTACTTTGCTGCTGATAGTGAGGGCTTCCTCTGGCTCTGGGAATTATTAGCCCCATGAAGGGTCAGGGATTTCACTGAGAATCTTCTGAAAGCTATAAGACATTCTCTCCAGAATTCATAGAATTCTAGGATTCCTAGAATCCTCCAACTCAAAAAAAAAAAAAAAAGAAAGAAAAAAGAAAGCCCATCCATGGACTACCTGTCTCTAGAGATGCTTTTTCTTTCCTGTCTCTTGATTTGGACTGCAAGTGGCACTAGCAGCCAGACATCTTTAAATTATTCTTTAACACAAACTGTTTTGCTTCAAGGTAATGTGGGCTCCCGGCTTGTTTGGTAAAACAATGTTGCTTTAATATTTGCCAGGCCTTGTGGTTTGCTGAAACTACTACACAAATCTACTGATGTATAAATTCTGTCATATGATTACCAGTCAAACGGAAAGGAGAAGACACATTTTTTTATATTTTGGTGTAGTTTTCCTTCAGAAGACCTCAAAATTTATTTTTAAGGTTTTAAGAGATTTCTATGACTAGAAATTAGGCCCTGTTCTTTGTTTGCATTTTTCTACCTCCATTCTAGCAGCTTGTTTTGTTCCCCTTGGTTTGGGAGGCACACAGAACACAAGATCTCTGGGCTGCAGCTCAGCCTATGGCAGCGGCCAGGTCTTGACGCCAGGAAGATGTCACTGGTCACTGTGAGGAAGTCCTAAGTGATTCTCGGAAGAGCACAGTTGGCAAAATACAAGGAGATTCATATTCATATTTCCCCACCCCGTGTGTGTGTGTGTGTGTGTGTGTGTGTGTGTGTATTTATTGTCCTGAACCCAAAAGTCAAATCTTTGCTCTCCTGTCAAAGAGTTAAAATAGAAGCCTCTTCTGGTTTTCATTATTTCTCCAGCACTAAACATCTAGGCATAGAGGAAAGGAATAAAAAGTGTGTCGTCAACTGAGTGGTGTTAATTTGCAAAAAGTTTACACTGCTTTTTCTGTCCTTGTCTGGTGCTCAGCCATGCAAAACATCCATATAGTCTGCCCGTGCTCAGTTGCCAGCTAGCGGGCGAAATTAATTTTCGCCTGAGGAAAAGCAGCAGCCAGATTGATTTTTGAGGCTGTGCAATTCTCCCCACAATTATTTCTACATGAACAGGCCTTATGGTTTCTGATCAAATAGCACATTTTCATTCTTTTTAAAAAATATCATAATTTATGTTTTATAAAATGTATGAAAAAGGAGGTACCTTGGGCAAGAAATAAGAGGAGGGCTGGGGATTTAGCTTAGCAGCACAGTGCCTGCCTGCCAAACACAAGGTCCTGAGTTCAATCCCCAGTACCAAAAAACCCACAAAAAACCCCCAAGAAATAAGAGAGGGGCCTGATCTCTCTAGGTCTTCTAAAAGGCACTGTGTTCTCAGGACTTGTGGATAGTGGCCTCTTTTATTGGATTTTTGGATTTTAGAAGTATTATTTTGATTAAACATGCAACCAAATCAAGTGGTTTCTGAAATGACAATGACTAGAGACTTCTGCAGGAAAAGGTATCTCCATAGAGGCAGGATTTTTTTTAAGTGGATGTTCTTCAAACAGCTTCATAAGTTTGGACAATTAAAAGACAATATCCAAGGTTGTTAAGGCTATGTTAGTGATGTTACAACACTTAAAGAACAGTGAAAATTATTAGTGAAGACAAAGAGAGGGGGCAAAACATACTTTTGGTTATGTCTTAAGCAACCATTTATGTCTTAAATGATGTCTAATCCTGATGGCTGGGTACCTTGGTTACAAACATTCTCAGGCAGAGTTAGGAGAATTTCTACTGTGCCACTGGAGAATTGTTACTTCATATGGAAGAAATAAGGGCTATTATAATTAATGTATCTGTCATTGGCCAATGACTTGGCTTTGGCTCCTAAAGTCGTTCATTTGGTTCAGCCACTTCTGAGCTGAAGAGAGTTGTTTATTTATAGGCCCCCAACAATTTGTTTTGTTTTGTTTTGTTTCTGCCCCCAACAATTCTTGATGAACCCCAGCCCCAGCTACATATTTGCATTACTATGAAGCCTTTATTTTTTATTAATTTTATTTGTTAAATTCTTTTATTGGTACATTTTAGGTATACAACACACTTACATTTCTCATTGGGAATTGTACCTTTACAT